TCCCCTCTGTTTTTTTTTGCCACACAAAATTTTTTCTTAAACCCCCCGCCTCTACAGTATATTTGTAAGAAACCTTAGTGTACCACTTGTCGCCACCAGAGGGCAAATCCTTTGATTCCACTATTATATTATACTGTAACTGGTTACACCTATGGCTCAGACAAAAGCACAACATCTATTTTTATACATAATAGGGTTGCTATTATTCTAGCTAGCTGGTAGACGGTGGCCGACAGTCACATATGTGTTGCCACTACAGTACACCTGTACTACTGCTGTACATGCACCAGTGTTTTTGTTGTTTCCTGTTCAGAACCACAATGCGCATCAGTTTCAGTGCAGCCCTGTCATAAATCCGTGATAACATCTGATTGCAGTTGTTTTCCTTGTCAAAGGGTGTGTCCCGCACAGACATGCACCTGACAATCACTTGTACTCATGATATGTGTGCACGACCTTTGAGCAGAGAGAGGCGTGTGCGCGTGCGGTGCGGCGCTATAACAGCAGCCCTGCGCGTCGAAGTGAGTAACAGGTAACCCAGGTGAAGACTGCTGCTACCGCCCAGAGCTGCAGGTGCGTACACTGCCTTCACTATATGATCACTACATGGTCATATATTCAACGGCAGGTCGAGGACATGTGTAGATGGACCAAAGGATTTCAGCATCCCGGGACACTGTACTTTAAAACGCGGGGATTCGGATAATCTTGGAGAGTTGGTACAGTTTTCAAAGCGTCTGCTTTCTGTCCTAAAATAAGTTTGATAAACTATTGGTCAAGCACAAAAGTTGAAGTTGAGGCTGTTGTCTTTTTAAAAGCGCAATTAATGAGTCTGTATTTGGAAAAGATGCACAGACCACACGTGGTCACTTCGGCTTTTGTTCCATTGTGAACATTTTAAATCCTTAACTACATGTAATTATATGAATGATTGTGTAACTTTTTGTGCTTCCAGATAGCCATGGCTCCAAAACCAGAGGAGGGGACTAATTCCTCCCACACTCTCGGTATATCATTTTATCTTAGACACTTTTAATCTTTTTGTTGTTGCCATCTCTTCTAACACTCACACCTCCCTGGCCTAGATGACAACAATGTGACTAAAGACACTGACATCCCGCCAGCTTACTCCACTCTGGACCTAATGAATGCTGATCTGGGTGCAGAAGATCCCTGGGATCTCCCAGCACTCAAAGACACTGGGATCAAATGGTCAGGTGAGACAGCTCACCACTGCCAACGCCCAGTGTGGATGCCTGTAAAAACCCAGTTCTGATTCAGTACTTTGTGTTTTTCTCGTACAGAGCTTGATACAAAAGGAAAGATTATGAGAGTGCTGACTGGTGTAGTGAAGCTCATCCTGCTGCTTGGGTTTCTTTACTTGTTTATTTGCTCTTTGGGTATTCTCAGTTCTGCTTTCCAGCTAGTCGGAGGTAAAGTGATTAAACATAAATTACATTATCACAACCCATCACTGCACATTTGGTGTATTTACTTGATAATATCAAGTCCAACAAAGTGCCACCTGAGATTGTGTGTGTGTGTGTGTGTGCAGGCAAAGTTGCTGGTGACATCTTCCAGGACAATGTTGTGTTGGCCAACCCTGTGGCTGGTCTGGTGATTGGGGTGTTAGTCACAGTCCTCGTGCAGAGCTCCAGCACCTCCACCTCTATTGTGGTCAGCATGGTGTCCTCTGGGTGTAGGTAGACACACACTCATGCCAGCACAAGGAAAATGCATGCATGCACATAAATGCTGACAAATTGATCATTGTGCACAATATACTTTAGTGGTTCCCAGCTTGTTCTGACAGACTACCCCCAGAGTCCTATCACAGCACCCTTCATTAACACCAGCTGTCATATTCCATGTGTTCATTTGAAAATAATAAACTGGAATGACATTCATAGCAGCTGCAGAGTTGTCCCGCAGAACCCCCCCAAGTTAGTAGTCACTGGTATTACCGTACACACTAACATGATGCCACTTGTATTCTTCAGTGCTGGAGGTCAAGTCTGCAGTGCCGATCATCATGGGTGCCAACATTGGAACATCTGTCACCAACACTATTGTGGCAACGATGCAAGCAGGAGACCGAAATGAGTTCCGCAGGTAAATTAGAGCATGTAATGAAAAAAATCCTGTGATGATATGCACAGTAGGAAAAAACAACAGTAATAGTAGAAACTGTTTTCAGGGCATTTGCTGGTGCTACAGTCCACGACTTCTTCAACTGGCTGTCTGTGCTGGTTATTCTGCCGCTGGAAGCAGCCACAGGTGCTTTGTACAAACTCACCAAGGTCATAATAGAGTCCTTCAATATCCAGACTGGAGAAGATGCCCCTGACTTGCTCAACGTCATCACAGACCCTTTAACAAATGCTATCATCCAGGTACAGTCAGTGACATTAAAGAGCAACATGAACATTAAGAAGAAATGCCTTTAAAAAATACATCTTCTTTTAGCTGGACAAATCTGTGATCACCGACATTGCCACTGGTGACCCGGCTGCCAGAAACAAGAGTCTGATCAAAGTATGGTGCAAGAAAAAGGTCAACACGGTAAGAAATCAACAAGTGCTGCATCGCATACACAAATGATTAGGTTGCCACACACTGAGCATAACATAGTAACAATGAAAACATACTAAAGCCTTGGTTACTTCAGCTTTTTTTCTGTGATATTCTTCTGATATTGTCCTTTTTGTACTGACCACAGTGTTTGATCATTTTTTGAAGGTGTGTTATTTTATAAAAAGTGAAAAGTTACATGATCTTTTAAAGATTATCCAACAGTGGCTGCACTGACTTCTTACATACTGCAGTATCTGTTCTTACTTTTAAAGATGTTTTTTCCACTTTTCTCAGACTTTCTGGAATGAAACCACGACAAGCTGCGCTGCCGGTGCTGTCTGTTGGGAGGAAGGAAACCAGACCTGGACTGAGAAGAACATGACTTGGACCATCTACCTGCAGAAATGTAAGCATGCCTCCATCAGTGAGTAAAAAAGAACATGCACAAAGTTTACCAAGATTACCTGATCCACTAAAGCTCAGTGAAATATGAGACAGCCATTCTGCCACAACAACCTCCGTCATGCAGACCCTCTGATGTTCAGACAATGCCCACCTTTGAGATGTTTTGGTGACTCAGCAAATAATCTCTGTTGACCTACTGCATCTACCTGCTCAATAGGTCTATTCATGCCACATGACCACTGAATGGATCACTTCTTCAGAGTATTCTGTCCCCAGTTAAAGAATGCTGTGTTTAGTTTTAAAAATAGAAAAACCACTAACTTTTCAATATGATAGCATCAGAAACTGATCATAGGAAATAAAGCACCAGCGGTTTGTTTCCTAATTACAAAAAACAGACTAATTTACGAAAAAAAATTTATGAAAAAGAAGACCATTGTCTGTTTATCAAGACTTTCGCTTAGGAGAGTCATGCACATGGGGCTATTATTTAGCCATTACATAACAGGCATGATTAGACAGACAATTATCTCTTTTAACATCCATTACAGGCAAACACCTCTTTGTCGATACTACTTTACCGGACCTGGCAGTGGGCCTCATTCTTCTGGCTCTGTCTTTGTTTGTCCTCTGCACCTGCCTCATCCTCATCGTCAAGCTGCTCAACTCCATGCTGAAGGGGCAGGTGGCTGTGGTCATCAAGAAGGTGCTCAACACAGGTATGTATGGTAACCAAAAGAAATTCTCCTCAACATGGTCTCACCTGTTTGATAGTCAGCACATCTGCTTCGATAGTGATGCTTGATGAGCAACACAGGTATAGCCTCCCTGTTGCTTCTGGCTTGCCTCCAGGTCCAACAGTCCTGCTGTGTAATGGAGAAAGCTCAGGCACAGAGGCTGTTTTGAAAAAAGGCACTTGTTTTCTCTGAGCATGTGATCATAGTGCGTGCAGTCAAACTGTCCTCACTTCATCAGGTTTACTGCTCACCTCCTGTGTTTCTGTTTGACTACAGACTTCCCCTTCCCCTTCTCTTGGGTTACTGGCTATCTTGCAATGTTGGTGGGAGCTGGGATGACCTTCATTGTTCAGAGCAGCTCCATCTTCACCTCAGCTATAACTCCTCTTGTTGGCAAGTTACCATTAACATATGTTCACTCTACTTGTTTAAAGTGTTTTTATTTAAAATCACACCAAGACTTACTATATTTTGTCAATCTTATTTCACTAGGTATTGGTGTCATTAGCCTTGAGCGAGCTTATCCTCTGACACTGGGGTCAAATATTGGTACAACAACCACTGCTATACTTGCTGCTATGGCTAGCCCTGGAGAGACACTAGCCAACTCGCTGCAGGTAAGACACAATAAAATGTTTCTCCTGTGTTCCTCTTTTTAGCCATACTAGCAATCTGGGAATGTTGGCCTATCTGTGACCTCTTTGGTCCAGACTGAAATATTTCAACAACTACAGTGAGTGAGTTGTGGTGAAATTTAGAACATTCATGGCCCCAGAGGATGAATGCTATGGACTGTGGTGATTCCCTGACAACCATGAGGTTGTATGTTTGTATTCTATTGAATTACTATATCATCTACTAATGGACTGTCGTGATATTTATGGTCCACAGAGGATGACTTGTAATAACCTTGACTGCCTTTATAGTGTACATTTATCCAAATAGTCAGTTGGGTGCCAGACTGGAAAATGACCATAATCATATGGTGCATAAGTACGCCTACTAGCGTGGCTTTTTAGTTTTTTTTGTCTGATAACCTTGGGCAACTACTATCATTCCTTTATGTTTTTTTTTTTAGATTGCACTTTGCCATTTCTTCTTTAATATCATGGGTATTATACTGTGGTACCCAATCCCTGCCTTGCGAGTGCCCATCAGATTGGCCAGAGGGCTGGGGAATCGTACAGCCAAGTACCGCTGGTTTGCCGGCGTCTACCTCATCCTTTGCTTCTTTATTTTGCCTCTGACTATTTTCGGCCTGTCGATGGCCGGCTGGGAAGTTTTGGTCGGCGTTGGTGTGCCCATCGTTGTGTTGATTGTCTTTGTCATCATTGTCAACGTGATGCAGTCTCGATGGCCCCGCTTCCTGCCAAAGGTCCTCCGTAACTGGGACTTTTTGCCTCGCCCCCTGCACTCCATGGCACCATGGGACACTATGTTGACTTCAACAATGGGCTTCTGCAGCAAACACTGCTGCTGTTGTTGTAAATGCTGCAAGTGCAAGTGCTGCAGTAAAGAAGAGGATGAAAAGATTGGCAGGGGCAGCATGAACAGTCTGGAAATGTATGACAACCCAGCAATGTCAAGAGACTTGTGTACGACGGAGGGTGCCACTTCAACACCATTTTAATATTATTAAGGTAAAATTGTATCCACGGTATACAAATAAACTGAGTGCACCCCTTTGTAAAATCACTAAAATGTTAAGTTATTCAAAACTGACTGTGTAGTGGCCGATTCACCGTGCAAGTTCTAAGGCCACTTAGTCTGCAAGGATCTTACTTTGACGTGTGTCCACAGAACCAGATTCCACTTTCCATTAGATATTTCCACAAAATTACTCACAAATCCAGCTGCAGGGATAATAATTGAATGCGGGTTTATTTTCCATAACAAGTCCATAGGACACCTCTATGTAAACACTCTGTTTACCTTTGATCAATGCAACAAAAATAATCCGTAATTTCCATTTATTATTTGCATGAAAAAGGTCAAATCAATCAAGGAAGAAACAGGTTGTGAGACATCATGAAAGATGGGTAAGGGTACGAGAGCTTCAGTAGGGGACAGGTATAAGAAGTGGCACACTACCAATAACAGAAGGCACAGTGGCTGTCCTTGAAAAATGACATCACGCACACTTAGTTTTTTACGCAAACATGCATTGGAAAACAGACTGGTAAGTGCCTCTGACTTGGCCCAAGCATTATCTATGTAAATTGGTATTTCATTGACATCATCTACAAGCAATTGCTTATAAAATGTCACCAAACTGCAGAATTACACTTCGCCAAAGAACATGAAAAGAAGCCTGACAAATATTGGCAGCACCCTCTTTGGTCAGATGAAACCAAAACAAATGAGTTTGGATCAGATGCATGTTTGGCGGACGACTACAGTGACTGCACTGTGCCGATCATGGAGGAGGAGTGTGCTGATTTGGGGCTGCACATGTGCAAAAGTGTAGGGTGAGATGATATGTAAGTCATTTCAGTTTTTTACTGTATACCCAAATACTGAAAGAAAAGGTGACTGTCACTCTCAACATAACAATAATCATGAACACACTTCGAAAATCACGAGTTTGTAAAGTACACCAAAGCAAAAAGAGAAAGTAAAAGTAACGTTGACGTTTATTGCAGGTGGTTCTTTAATATGCATTTTTCATTTCAGTTTAATGGCTCAGATATTAATTTTCCTCAGTCTTCTTTGGTTTTGGCTACAAACAAATAAGTATGTATTAAATGGCCAGAATTTGTAGTTATTTAACATCTTAGCGATGTTGACCAGGGTTGTACTCAGTCTTATTGTGTACTGTATAAGTGATATTTAATGCAGTGATGTACCTGTTGTACACTTGTTCATCACTTCTCAGCTTGTGGTATGTTGATCGTCCCCCTTTATGAGATGATATACTAAGCACTACAGTAAACACTTTCTATTTCATCATGCTGGAGAATATGAAGAGAAGTGCTGGACCTACTCTATTGTACCTGTACTATACAGTAACTACTGAGCTGCTGCTTCTGGGCAGGCAGGTGATGTTTATTTTGCTCTAACTAAACATGTCTGCTGTCTGCTGTAAGGTAACTATGGGTAGTTGCAAATATTATGACATAATTTTGTATATTTTGTTGATAAGTGTGAGAGGCCTTTGGTTTTCTTTTCTGCTTTGAACATGTTAACTTCAGATGTTCAATGTAGTGTTTAAAGTATTTGTTATCCTTCAGTATTTAAGACTGTAATATTTGTAAATGTAATAAATTCTTATTTTTAAAGTGAAGTATTGCAATTTTGTCTCATCCTGTTTCATCAGTATATGTAGATTACTCCATATGTACAGCTTGAAGTCAAAATTATTTACAGTATAGTTACTAAAATTTCATTTTAATCAATTCATTGGATCAACTGGAAGCGCAGATTTAAATATAACGATAAAATTCAATGCTGAATAAAAGAGTAAATATAAATATTGAAACATACTGTAGAGAAGTTACAAAAATAAATCTACTGGCACAAAACACCTTTGGCCTAAGAGCTCTGCAGTTAATCCTCCATCCACAAAAGCTTTCTGAGCACCATGTCAGAATTGTTCCAGAGAAACTTTACTCCTTATGCACAGTCTGAGAGGCCTTCTCCACACACAAGCTGGGGTTGCAATAAAAGCTGATACACATAAAAGAGTCTGTGTCAGGAGCATATTATAGCTGTTTTCACATTACTGGAAAGAGGATTACATCACTGTATGTAATAGTTATTTTACCCCACAATCAAATCCTTTCTCTGGTGATAAGATGAATTCAACATGCTATTTCAAAACAAATTAAAATGTACTTATATAGCACTTTAAAACATCTTGTTGACCAAACACTGCTAAAACATTTAAAACTGGAAGAAAATTACAAACAGAAATAAATTAAAGCTAATGTTTTTCCTGTTCATCTCAAACTTTTTAGGCAAGTACATAAGTATGATTATGGATTTGTCAGAATAAAATTTCAATCATGGTAAAAACAAGTTTAACCACCCACTTATGATTTAGAGAAACAAATATTCAGTAGTTTAAAACCTTCCTCTCCGGGCCTACAAGAAATTTATTCCTAGACTCACCATGCAATAAACTAAATTACCACCTTCCAAGCTCACATCAGTCAATATGTTATCAACTCGCTTGACCTCAAGGGATCCAACAAGAACAATAAATGCATTCTAGCTCTAACAGGACTATTTAAGAGCACAATACTTTTGTTTATAAAAGCATTAAAACACCTCAAAGTATGGTGGCAGTCACTGTCTTTGGTGATCTATAATGTTTTGATCTGCAATACATGATATGGTAGAATTACTTATCAGATTTCTGTGACATAAGGTCAGCAGATGCTGTCCCATAATAACTTTACCAAGAAGCAACTAGTGTCATTTCTGGTCATTGGAGGAGTTTGTATGCTGAACCTGCCTATGCTGCTACCTGGGTGAGGGGGAAAGGTGTAAACACAATACTGACATATGGACTGTGTCAGAAATCCCACACTATAAATTACATAGTTCACTGTATAGAGTATATACACTGCTATTTAGCAGTGGTGTATGAATGCTGAATGGGCAGAACAAAGCTGGCATGTGCACAACCTTCTTTCTTTCATCCCATAATGCATTGGTCTGCATTTTACAAATGAAAAGCCAACTATTGAGCATTGACGAGCATTAGTAAGCGTCCAAAATCTGAATTGTTCAGACATGCAGCAGATACGGAGAAATATTAACATTTATATGAAGTGATTCTGTCCACTTGTCAAATGTTCACACGCCTTTTTATCCCTGTTTTTGGCCTGCACCATCTACTGTTTGTGCAGTGACCTTTTAAGGCTTTTTGCTGAAAACAGCTACTTGAGAGTGAATCAAAACAGCGAGAAATTTGCAGGACCATAGCACTAAAACAATTAGCTGAAGAGCAGTAAAACAACCTTCAGAGAGCTTTGTGATGTGTGAGTTTGCCACTATATGCAAGCCATTTCATATTACATCAAGATATCCGAGTCACTGTTAATAAAACTGTCAGTTAGAGCAGCTTTAACTCTGTAACCTCTTTGCAGTAACTCTGTGTCATTATTCACCTTCACAATTACCCTATTTTAATAGGTTACTCAATTTATGAAGTTATGGCTGCACTTCGCAGTGTTTATGAACCTTATTCTCAGAGGCGCCGCCCAACGCATACCAGTGAGTTATAAACCACATGTTAAAGGCCATACACAGCCACACAGGTGCCTCCTGTGTCTTAGTACACCTCCGGTCACGTTGTAACTGATTGACGCTATGCCAGGATTACACAGGTCACTAATCAAAGAGAATAATAAAGGTGTTCCTTGTCCCATACAGACGAGTGCAACAAATGAAATCAGAGGGTCAGATGGACAACAATCAAGCACACACGTGTGCACACACACACATGCAGTCATAAGAAGGACTTTAATAAGGGAAAATAAATTAAAATATGTGTAGGGAGATGTGTGAGTATGGCAAGGCTACAGGTAAAAACTGTGTACCACACAAAAATACACTACAAAACAGCTTAAAAGACCTATAAAAACAGATCTAATATAAGGCCCTGTTTGAATTGGACTTCTCTTTTTATTATTATACTGCCTGTTTCAGAAATATTGAAATAATATTGAAATATTGCTGAATACAACCTAGAATACTGCAGTGTCAGTGTAGTGTTAAATCTAACAATATTATCAATTCAGGCAGGTCACGGTGAACCTCAGCAGATATGTCCAGAAGATAAATGGATGTGATACATTTCTGCTGTGGCTTCATGTGAAAGCACAGGTAGGAAAAGAGGTGTGGTGACAGTAGTGATAGAAGTACTCAGATCCCTTACTTAAGTACAAGTAGCAATACAACAATGTAGTCTGCATTCAAAATGTTACTTAAGTAAAGGTACAAAAACATTTGCATCAAAGCATAATTAAAGTACCAAAAGTAAAAGTATTCATTGATTTAACATATTTAACATTGATGTATATCATACAACTGGATTATATTTACTGTTGCATTTTGTGTACATCAGCTGGTAAGGGTGGAACTAGTTTTAACCTGCTTATAAGCTTTTAATTTGAATTACTGTTGGGTAGCTGTGAATTTTGCACCAGGGATCAATAAAGCTTTATAATCATACTGTATTTTTCGTATTAATCTGACTCTGAAAACTAACTAGTAACAAAAGTTATAAAAAAATATGTGAAGCAAGAAGTAGAATAGATGGCAATATATTAAAAATACTATATTTTAAAATGCAGAAACATAAATACAGTGTGCACATTTTTCATTTATCAATTCTTCCTTATTTGCTGCCAACCCACTGTGGTACATGAATAAAAAGAAGCAGTGTACTGAGTCCCATTTTGGTAAAAACACTGGTTAAATATCACAGCTGCTAGTTTAACCCCCCTTACTTCAAATGTCATATAGACATTATTTTCACATTATACTGAATAATGATTTCCAGAATTAACTACATAATATGCGTGAGAAAACATGATGTGTGAGAAACAACACTGCAGAAAAAACAGAGGATCAATTTAGCCTCTACCACTGTGGCCTGAATTAAATTTTTGAGTAGGCTTTATCAGTTGCCCTGCCACCCATCACCACCAGGCTCTTTTAAAAAGTGGTTACATTAGTTTATTTTATTCTGTCTGTTTTCTAGGAAAGTGTAAGCTGCTACGCTTGTGTATTGAAAGAGTTACTTGGTCAAATAAAACCAGTTCAGTACCTCTTAATGTATCTAATCCTAATTAATTAATCCTAAAGCAGAACTAAGTATACTAAGTCAGTACCTACTGATGTGCATAGGTGTGTTTTTGAACTGTGACATTACTGCTTTATAAAAAAACTCAAACAATTCACACTCACTGACTGTTGCTCTTTGAACTGAGCTGAACAAAACAATTCAAATCAGCAAAATGACTCATAACTCTCACCTGTGCACTGGGTGGTTATATGACAATTACAGCCCTACTTATTATGATATCACTAGTTATTGAAATGGCTTTATTTTATCATGTCATTAAATTTGATAATAATTTTGATTTTCTAATTCATTCTCATTCATCTTGGCTACCTATTAATTACTTCCCAGAAAATACATGAAAATCTACCAACATTTTTAATTTCAAATGAAGTCAAATCAAATTTATTTTACATGGCAGAATAAACTGACTGACTCACAAAACAAGCTGCCTGTCAACTAAGAAAGCTGCATAATCCTTCTGTCACCAGGTGTAGTATCTGCAGGCTGTCACGATGCAATTAGCAATAATTCTGAACCATTAAACAACAACGCCTGGATGTAGTGGTTATATTGTAGTGATGTGCAATATCACTTATTTCCTTTTCCATCCAATACCAAGTAAAACCCAGGCTGGTATCCCTGAAAACACTACCGATACTTTGTGCCAAAAAACAACAGTGAAAAAGAGATGGGTCCAGATAACAGACACTGGTGGATAAGAGATATAAGGTGTATTTAAAAGGGCCTTCTGCTTTTATTAACAACAAAGGGTGCCACCCTGGTCACATTACTGTGAAGGGATGTTTCTGTAAACAAGATTTTAAACTGTAGCTGTGGAGATTTTTTTTTAATTCAGATTCTAGATTGCGATTTTACACAGCTGTACTTCACATATGAATATGACAGGCAAAGGGAGACGTAGTTCCTATTAACTGGAAGATAATAATAATACTGCAGTTTATATATAGGGCACCATTTCAAAAACCTAAGATCACCTTACAAAAACAAATAGAAGAATACATCATACTAAAAGCAGTAGAAATCCAAATAAATATGAATGTAAAAACAATCAAACATACAGTATAATATCAACCATCGCCATCCATCCATCCATCCATTTTCCTCCGCTTATCCAGAACCGGGTCACGGGGGCAGCAGTCTAAGCAAAGATGCCCAGACTTCCCTCTTTCCAGACACTTCCTCCAGGGGAATGCTGAGGCGTTCCCAGGCCAGCCGAGAGACATAGTCCCTCCAGCGTGTCCTGGGTCTTCCCCGGGG